GCATTTGATTGAGAATCTACTTTGGTTAATTGTATGATCACCCTCAAATTAATTAAGAATTTACTTTAATTCATTTGAAACCCAAACAATAATCAATTGAACATTGATTTATGGATAATCGATGATGAATCTGTTTTGGAAAAGCAGTGGAATTAGCCTATTTTATCATAAATGTTTCTAAGTTTCTCTTTTCTTCTTAAATTAAACTCACGACATTCTTCAACATTAAATTCATTAGGATAGATTTTCATTCTCATTTTTAAGCATTGGATAGCATTTACTAACCTTTACAAAGTTTTTCATAAGCGTAAAGTATTGAAAAGCAATTCCATATTTGTTGGGAAATGACTTAGGGTTACTTTAACCTTATCTACTTTCTTAACTACTAACTTGGAAATACTGAATTTTCCTTATAAAGTAGTATTAATTTGATAACTTCAACGACAATGTATCAACAAGAATAGGTATGGGAAACACTGGGAAACTAGTGTGGCAATTACTTAAAAGATTCAAAAGTAAGTCAAAGAGAAAAGAGGAGACCCTAAGGAGAGGTCTCGGGTTTTGGTAATCTGTGAATGAAGGGTGAGTGAGGGAGTCTTTAATGGAAGAGGAAGGTAGGATAATATTTTTGTTTTGGGACTCATGTTGGGAAGTGAAAAGAAGTGTGGAAGAGGGAGGGTTGAGTTTTGGGGTTTTGTGTGAAAGGAGGGGAGGAAAGTAGTTTTGGAAAAATGAAGAAAAAATTAATGGTTGGAGTGTGGGAGAAGGTACAAGTGTTGTAGATAATGAGGGAAAAGTATAAGGGAAGAATGAGTGGGGTTTTATAGAGAAAACAATGGGCTTATTTCTTTCTTGTGTGTGAAGAACAATGGTAAACTTGTGTGCAAATTATTTCTGGGATCGTGTGATGAAGGAGTGGTATGTGTGGTGTTTTAGAACCTTGTTTTCTATTTTTGATGTGGGTCCACTTGGGGTCACTTGTTTTCTATTTTTTATTAATTTAATTGAATAATTATCGTGGTGTTTTAGAACCTTGTGTTTGGTTGGTTAATGCATATTATTGAGACTATGTATGAAATGTACTGAGAATTGAGTATATAAACCTTGTGTTTATATGTGAAATGCATGTTATTGAGAATATGTATTGAATTGTGATGCAAATGTAAAACGATGTTATTTCCTTGTAATGTTGTCGGTTGAATGAGCTTTTTGTATTGTGATAGTTAAGGAGTTAAGTGTTGTTTAGAGACAGAGATTCGAGTGTTAATTTTCCTCCTGCACGAGGAAATAAAAGGGTTAGATGTCTCGCCCAATGACTTCAGCTCGTGTTGAGTATAGTACACTGGTATGTGTAGTGTCGGTGGTTTTATTTGTTAGTCCTTGAGGAGTCGGGGATTTAGGTCTGAATTTGCGATGGAGGACAAAATGCAAGGAAACTACATTGGTTTATGAATGGTATGGTTGTAATATAATTTCTTTATTAGGATGAAATGCTATGACTTGTTATAGTTTGTGTTTAATGTTGTTATATTGTGTTATATGCTATAACGTTTTCTGGTTACTCATCCTTCCCTGTTGTGGTTGTGGTTTCCAACACGGGAGTATATGGTGTTGTAGATAAGGCTTGTTTGGAGTAGCTGACAAGAAAAGGAAAATTTTATTTCCGAGAATTGTTATATTTATATTTCATTGTAATTTTCAGACTTGGGGATTTCTGTTAAAGTTTCATTTTGAGTTCTCATGTTTTTTATGGACATTGTTTATAATTGTGGCATGCTTTTGCGATATACCTAAATAAAGATTTTGATTATACAAAGAAGATGTTTATAAATTGTGTTAAAAAAAATATACATGTGGCATCCCACCAGAGTTGTTACATCCTCCAATTATCTTCTAAATAATCCAATATCTTCAAGAAATATTTCATTGTCATGGAGATCTAAAACTATTTGAGAAGATCTTTGCTAGATTCAAAAACATTTGGTAAATATAATTTTTTGATATTTACTAATATAGTTAAATAAGGTAATTATTTAAAAATATCAAATAAAATATCTAAAGATATATTTTCCCAAATTATCTATTATCAATTATCAAAGCCTTTTTTGTAGAAAAAATAAAGAAAATCGTAAGGTCCAATTTTTGTTGTCTGTTACCTCTTCCTAACTTAGTCAAATTTCTATGGTTTGACTAAATGTGATTTTGATTATTTATTATTTTTAAATTTATCTTTTAAGTGTCATGAAACTTTAACCAATTTATTTTCACACCGCTATGAACTCAAATTAGCTAAAATTGCACTAATACACCTTAAAATATTTTTAACATATTTTTGTATATGGTGTTTAATAAACTCAATCATAACAAATCTTATTTAAAATATTCTTTTATAATAAAAAAATCAATTAAAAATTAAATAAGAACATATAAATTTAATTTAATATGTTATGATATGATCTTGTAGAATTTTTATATAATATTTAGGATTAAAAGTGTTGGTGCAAAATATAATTTAATTTAACACCAGTTTTGTTTGGGATTAAAGCGTAAGAAGATACGAGGTAAGGACCCTAAAGAAATTATGACGATATTTTAATCTTAAAAAAAGTGGGTGCAGAGACCCAAAACATAAAAACGTGAGCATGAATTCACAAAAGAGTTGACTAGTAGTTAATAAATGTTTTTCTAATAATGTGTACCTTCTAAAGCTAGATTAATACTAAAAGAATCGTTTTTAATATTTTCATATTTTTGAAGAAGGTAATTCTTGTAAAAGTTAACCAATTATATTATAATTCGTAAAAGAGATTTAATATTAAATTTTTTAATTATTTTCAGTATTTTTAATATTTTATTAAAAAGTATTAAAAATATATGTATACACTTCGTTAAATTACGTGATTACTTGTCAATGGTTATCACTATATATACTTAATGTTATTGAATATTATATTAATTAATTATTAATATGTTTAGTTAGATGTTTGACAATATTATTCATTATTGCTACGGCTCTAATCTATGGTGAAAAGTAGTTATTAGTTATAATGATTCATAGTTACTCCAAGCTACCACATTATCCAGTGCCACAACCTTTGATATTGTAATTTTACCCCTAGAGTGGTGACTGCGTTTGAATATATCAAACTATACAGCCATTGTGTTGCTTGGGGAAGAAATTGTCTGCTTTGTGGTCTTCTGTATGCGCTTTATCGGATTCTTTTCTCTCATCATCTCTACAATTCAACTCGAACAAACCAAAAAATTGCCTTCTTGTAAGATAAGTTTCTACTAGAATTGAATTTTATTCTAGTAAGATTCGATTGTATAGAAAAGCAGTTAAAAAAATCAAGTTAAGATTGTATTTGTTGTTTCTCTATATGTCATGAGATGAGAAGTTGTCAAAAGAGAATCAGATTTGCACCAAACTAACAAAATCCCATAAATGTTTAGACCTTTGAAGAAAGAGTACGGCACAGAAAAGGAAAGAAAACTAAGTGTTTATGAGTGCTTTGGGAAGAAAACTCTAATGTTGAAAAAAAAAGGAGAGAAAGAAAATTACTGTCTAAAATATTCATATCTCTTACACGACTATATGGCTAGGGTGAACACAGAATCCATTTCCCCTGTAAGGTTCAAAGTGCTCTTATAGTATTACTCTAACATCCTAAAAATATTAGTTTTCTTGTTTCTAATTTGATCACAAAATTAATATAAATATAATGTATATTTCATCTAAGAAGTGTATCATTATTTTTTTTTAAGAAAAAAAATATTAATATTACATTAATAGGAGGATCTTTGGTACACATATTGATAACACTCTAGATTTACATATTTTTCTTTGTTAAAAATCATTTCTTAGATTTCTTTAGTTTTTAATTTCTTAGAATTAGGCTAGTTTTATGTTTTTCTCTTAATTCTTTAGTTTTATAAAATTCTAGTTAAAAATAGGTTTTTAGGAGTTTTTTTCTCTTGTTAATCATTAGAGAATTTATATTTTTTTTCTTAGAAAATCTTTAATAAAAAAAAAATCTTTCTTTTTAATTCTTAGATTTTATTTTCTTTTCTTTAATTTGATTGTTTTTTTTTTGGTGCAAATATGAAATAAATTGGGCTTCTATGCTGACTGGACTGGCACTGGGTTGTTGAAATTGGGCCACTTGAGCTGCCACTGCATAAGGCTGAAAGTGAATTGGGCTGCATGGGCTGATTTCAATTAATTGGAACGACGCCGTTTTGGAGGCTGGCAGCTGCAGTTCCATTGGGGGTCTTTGCGTGCGTAATTCATTTGGGGAAAGAATTCAATGTGCTTGCATTTGGAGAGAAGAAACACTTAAGCTAGGGCTTGTGCGAGAGAAGCAAGTGAGAAGAAAAGCTCTCGCCACTTACCCAAAGAAGAACCTGACCGGTGGAGCTGAAGACGTGACCGGAGCGCGATCCTCGCCAGAGAAGAAGCTGACCGAAGCTTAAATGGATCGGAGGATTTAGAGCGCACAGCTTTTGGAGACCGTTGGATCAAGGTGAAGCTCGAAGCGTCACAGCAAGGTTCCCCCTCTCCCATTTTTCTTTTCTCCCTTTCTTTTCTCTTTTTGTTTTTCGACCCTATATAAAGGGCTTTCACCATGTAAATAGGGATATAGAGAACGTATCTTCACACACTGTATACCTTTTCAGTTTACAGTCCTCGTTCTATAGTTTAGGGCTTTTATGCTTTCGTAGGATTAGAGTTTTTGGTTGCTGGATTTCGCCGATAAGCTTGCGAGAGTGACAGACCGTGAGTGCATTGTTGAATCCGGTAGTGTGTAATTTTCTTTCTCATGATTAATAAAGTGCAATTTTGTGCTTCTTTCTCAGTTCTTGTTTGCGTTTTGATGTTGTTCACTGTTTTGATTTATGTGCTTGTTATGTTTGAGAAATTGAATTGGACTCCGATTCTCTGCATCTTTGCGATTCCTCTTTGGAATTAAATGACATCGTAGTGAGCATTCTTTATCGAGATGTCTTCTCGAGACAGAGAAGAGTCCAATGTATAAAGATTCATCCGAATTTCTTTTTGTATATCAGATTTAAATTTTGTTCTATGCTTCAGTTCATTTGTTTGTGAATTTTAGATTGATGAATAGGTTAATGAACATTGGTTGGACAAATTAGTGGAAAGAGTCAATTTCAAGGTTCTGAAATATGACTTAGAATCACCTGGATTGGGATTCATATTATCAGGATGTCTTCCTGAGAGCTTTAAGCACTCTTTTATTCAGTCTAATGTGCATTTCACCTATGACTTCAATTCTGTTTTTGAGATTGTTATATTGCTTTTGATTAGTTAGAATTTAGGTACTGTTTTTGCTTTGTTTCAATTCTAAATTCTGTTCTTGATTGATTTCTGGTGATTTATAGATTAGGATAGAGTGATCTTTGTTGCTTATTTGGTTTCATTGCTAGTTGATTTCTGTTTTAGCCAATACTTCTTACTTTGATTTTTATCTTCCTGTGAATAGACTAGGTTTAGTAGATTAGATGTTGAACTGTCCACTCTTTTGGTTCTGATACATGTATATACTACTTCTTTAGGGATCTTAGTATCTTGTTCAGTTTTAGTTTTGGTTTCCTTGCATTGTTAACTGTTAGCATTCATAGGTTAGTTTTAATTGCATTCAGTTCTCATTTTAGTTTAGGTTCTGTTATGTTATGCATTCATTTTATAATTTAGCTTAGGTTTCAGTTTTGTTTTTATTTCTTTGCATTTTATTTCTTCATCTTTTTCCTTTATACAGATTTGATTCATTCATTCTTTTATCTTTAATTTCATTGTTCATATTTCATTTCCCTACCTTGCATTAGTAGTTCATTAGGTGTTAAATAAATACAAGATTCAATTCTACACTTTAAACTTAATTCTAGCCGAGTTTTTGGATTGATTCCCTGGTTGTCCTATACTACATTAGTGAGGACTAGGGTTTGTTGACTTTTAGTGCGACCTAAAAGCCTTTCAACACATATATTTCTTAATTTCTCATGCTCATATTTGAAGTCTCACATTTGTTCTTCACTATCATCTACACGATCTTTTACAAAGACATTTATCTCATTCTCTCCTTCTCATGTATATAAGTTCAAGATATATACGATCATTGCAAGTGAGTGTTAGAATTGGTCAACTAAACAAAGAGAATTGCATCCTCCGTTCAGAGAAAATTAAAGATGCTTAATTCTTGGTTTCACAAAAGAGAAAATCAACAATATTTTAGAAAGCTTAAAAATAGAAAAACGAAGTGAATGGAGAATATTGCTTATGTACACTTATAAATACATGTTGTGTATTCCTTTGTAATTCATTCCAACAAGTAGAGAAGAAACGTAGGCAAGAATAAGCTAAGAGAGAGAAAAGTGAATTTGTTGTAAATTTTTCTTTATCAATAATATATTTGGAGTATAATTTCAAAAGTTTAATTTGAGTGTTATTATTCCGCGTTTGTATTTTTCTCTCACAAATCTGATTAAGAGAAATTGTGCATAATTTTCTAACAACTGGTATCAGAGCCGATTGTTATTATTATAATCAACGGTTCAAAGGGAGTCAGATTATAAGTGGGAGAAATGGCTACAGATGAAGGAAAGATAAAAATTTAGAAGTTCGATGGTACGGACTTTGTGGCTTTTTGGAAGATGCAGATTGAAGATTATTTGTATCAGAAAAAACTATACCAACCTCTCTCGGGACATCAACCAGAAAACATGAAGGATGAAGATTGGACTCTTCTCGACCGACAAGCTCTCGGAGTTATTCGATTAACATTATCCTACAATGTTGCGTTTAATATTGCAAAAGAAAAGACCACAATGGGTCTTATGACAACTCTTTCAAGTATGTATGAAAATTCGTCAACCTCAAATAAAGTTCATTTGATGAGGCGGTTATTTAATTTGTGGATGTCAGATGGCTCAATGGTAGCGCAACATCTTAATGAACTCAATATAGTCACAACTCAATTGAGTTCAGTTGGAATCGAATTTGATGACGAAGTACGACCTTGATACTTTTGTCTTCTCTACCGGAAAGTTGGAATGCTACAGTCACACTTGTGAGTAGCTCATCAGGCAGTAATAAATTGAAGTTTGATGATGTTCGTGATCTGATTCTTAGTGAAGAGATTCGACGAAAAGAGTTGGGAGAATCTTCAACCTCTTCAGTTTTGCATACAGAGTCAAGGGGAAGAAGTTCGAACAGAGGATATGGACATGGAAGATCCAAGAAGGTCCAATTCTAAGAATCATCGTAGTTTCAAAAACTCCAAGACAATTGAGTGTTGGAATTGTGGAAAGGTGGGACACTAAAAAAATCAGTGCAGGAATGCACGGAAGAATCACGAGGATAAAGCAGAAGCAAATGTTGCTTCAACCTCAGGAGGAGAAGATGCATTGATATGTTCTTTAGAGAACAAGGAAGAGTCTTGGGTGTTAGACTCTAGAGCATCCTTTCATGCCACCTCACAAAGAATTCTTCGAGAATTATGTTCTTGGAAACCTTGGAAAAGTTTACCTTGGTAATGAGTAGTCTTGTGAGATTGCTGGTATAGGTGTGGTGAAGAATAAGTTAAATGGGTTTGTATGGGAATTGAAAAATGTTAGACATATTCCCGACCTAACAAAGAACTTAATCTCAGTAGGCCAATTGGCCAATGATGGCTACACAACAGTCTTCCACGGTGATCATTGGAAGATTTCAAAGGGTGCAATGACAATTGCTCGTGGTAGGAAGAGTAGTACTCTCTACAAGACAGAAGGAGCTTGTCATTTGATTGTAGTTGCAATGAATGAAAATCCTAACCTATGGCACATGAGTTTAGGTCATATGAGCGAGAAAGGGATGAGGATCATGCACTCAAAGGGGAAACTACCAAGTCTTCGGTCAATAGAATTTGACATGAGTGAAGACTGTATACTTGGAAAGCATAAACGAGTAAGCTTTCAAAGAAGTGGAAGAATCCCAAAGAAAGAAAGACTTGAGCTTGTTCACTCTGATGTTTGGGGTCCAACAACCGTCTCATCCATTGGTGGTAAGTGATACTTTGTGACTTTTATTGATGACCACTCTAGGAAGGTATGGACATACTTTCTTAAAAATAAGTCTGAAGTATTTGAAGCTTTCATAATTTGGAAAGCCATGGTAGAAAATGAGACAGGATTAAAGATAAAAAAGCTTAGATTGGATAATGGTGGTGAATATGAAGACACTAGATTTAAGAAGTTTTGCTATGAGCATGGGATCAGAATGGAGAGGGCAGTGTCAGGTACGCCTCAACACAATGGTGTGGCAGAGCGTATGAATAGAACGTTGAGAGAGAAAGCCAGAAGCTTGAGTTTGCAATCAGGCTTACCAAAGAAGTTTTGGACAGAAGCAATCAACACAGCAACTTACTTAATCAACCGAGGTCTGTCGGTTCCATTGGAGCACAAAATACCAGAAGAAGTATGGAATGGTAAAGAGATAAAACTATCACATCTCAAAATTTTCAGTTGTGTAGCATATGTGCACATTAGTGATCAAGGCAGAAATAAGCTTGATCCTAAATCGAAGAAATGCACTTTCATCGGTTATGGTGAAGATGAGTTTGGCTACAGGTTATGGGATAATGAAAATCAAAAGATGATTCGTAGTAGAGATGTGATATTCAATGAAAAGGTGATGTATAAGGACGGGAACAACACATATAATAACAACTCAGAACAGAGTAAACCAGTGTATGTGGAGATGGATAATGTCCCAGAAACTCCTGTAATTGAGACTCCTTAGTCAGAGGAATCATGTGAAAATAATGATAGTGAAGAACTTGACACACCAGAACTTTCTATTCCAGCTCATGTTTTGCGAAGGTCTTCTCGATCTCAGGTACCTAATAGAAAATATCTTAATTATATATTGTTAATTGATGAAGGGGAGCCTGAAAATTATGAGGAAGCATGTCAGGTGATAGATGCTAGTAAGTGGGAGCTTGCCATGAAAGATGAGATGAAGTCTTTAATGTCCAACCTGACATGGGAACTAGTAGAGTTACCTGTTAGGAAAAAGGCACTTTACAACAAATGGGTGTATCGGGTGAAGGAGGATCATGATGGGTCCAAGAGATACAAAGCCCGACTAGTTGTCAAAGGATTTCAGCAAAAGGAAGGAGTTGACTACACTGAAATATTCTCTCCAATTGTAAAACTCAATACCATCATACCTGTTTTAAGTATTGTTGTTAGTGAAGGATTATACCTTGAGCAACTAGATGTGAAGACTGCATTTCTTCATGGAGACTTAGATGAGGAGATTTACGTGCATCAACCTGAAGGCTTCTTAGAAGAAAGAAAAAAGAACATGGTGTGTAGATTAAAGAAAAACTTGTATGGTCTGAAATAAGCTCCAAGACAGTGGTATAAGAAGTTTGAAAGCTTCATGCACAAGGAAGGTTTCCAGAAGTGTAATGCAGACCACTATTGTTTCTTCAAGAGATATAAGTCCAGTTATATCATTTTTCTACTTTATGTTGATGATATGTTAGTAGTTGGTTTAGATATGGATGAGATCAGAAGTTTGAAGCAACAATTATCAAAAGAATTTGACATGAAGGATTTGGGTCCAGCAAAAAGGATCCTTGGAATGCAAATCACAAGAGATAAGCAAAAGTATATTTTGTAGCTATCTCAGACAGAATACATTAACCGTTTTTTGCAGAGATTCAACATGAGAGACGCCAAAGAAGTTAACACACCTTTGGCCAGTCATTTTCTTCTATCCAAAGAACAGTCCCCTTAGACAAAGAAGGAAAAGGAGTCCATGGCTGAAATTCCGTATGCTTCAGCTATTGGAAGTTTAATGTATGCGATGGTCTGTACAAGGCTAGACATTGGTCATGCAGTGCGAGTTGTTAGTAGGTTTATGTCAAATCCAAGTAAAGCTCATTGGGAAGCTGTTAAATGGATTTTGAGATATCTATGAGGCACTACAGAGAAGTGTTTGTACCTTGGCAAAGGAGAGTTAAAAATACAAGGTTACGTAGATGCAGACTTTGGAGGTGAAGTAGATCACCGAAGAAGTACTACTAGTTACATTTTCACTATTGGTACTACAACTGTTAGTTGGATTTCACAGGTGCAAAAGATTGTTGCTTTATCCACTACAGAAGCTTGAGTACGTAACAGTAACAGAAGCTAGTAAAGAATTAATATGGCTTTACGGATTGTTAACAGAGTTGGGATTCATCCAAGAGATGAGTGTTTTGCATAGTGATAGTCAGAGTGCAATACATCTGGAAAAGAATTCAGCATTTCACTCTAGGACAAAACATATTGATGTTCGTTATCACTTCATTAGATCTTTGCTTGAAGATGGGGTGCTAACATTGAGAAAGATTCTTGGAAGTAAGAATCCAGTAGACATGTTAACAAAAGTGGTAACCATTGACAAACTGAAATTATGATCAACTTCAGTTGGCTTGCTACAGTAATAGACTACAGAAGATCGGTGCAATGATTAAGGTGTGAAGGCAAATTAAAATTAGTCTTCAGGTGGGAGATTGTTAGAATTGGTCAACTAAACAAAGAGAATTTCATCCTCTATTGAGAGAAAATTAAGGATGCTTAATTCTTGGTTTCACAAAATAGAAAATCAACAATATTTTAGAAAGCTTGAAAATAGGAAAACGAAGTGAATGAAGAATATTGCTTATGTACACTTATAAATACATGTTGCGTATTCCTTTGTAACTCATTCCAACAAGTAGAGAAGAAACGTAGGCAAGAATAAGCTAAGAGAGAGAAAAGTGAATTTGTTTCTAAATTTTTCCTTATCAATAATATATTTGCAGTATAATTTCAAAAGTTTAATTTGAGTGTTGTTTGTATTTTTCTCTCACAAATCTGATTAAGAGAAATTGTGCATAATTTTCTAACAGTAAGCACCAAAACACCACAAAAGAAATAAAGGAAAAGTTTATTTATTTTTAAAAGTTCTATCATAATTTTTATAAAGATTTAAATAAATTTTCTAATAACTATTTAAGAAAATTGAGTTTCATTAGTCAATACATCACATCGTATCACTCATATAGTCATAATCATCTATTAAAACTTTAACATGATTTAGACTTAATTATTGGAATCCTCATGTGTTGAGTTGAATACTAGTGTTAGTCATCACGTTTAAATAGTCTAAATGTTTCATCCAGTTGGCCAATTACACCTACCTCAACCTTCATTGGTAGATCTATTCCACCTCCATTGGATGTTGTTGGCTTGACACCCACACCACCCCGAGTTATTGTTGATCGATGCACACCATCCTCTCCCGTGTTGTTTCTAATCCATCAACGCCCACCACCGTTGTTGCACCATCACCTACTACAAAGCATGCAAGCTTACATTCAAGTTCAACAATGACTGAACTTGAGGTTGAGGATTCCAACAATCGTTCTATGATTACATCCCATTGGAGAAGGGTAACAAAATATATAATAAATTCATGTATATGAATAATTTCCAAGAAGATCCTTTACATGGGGCAACCTCCCAGATTTATTGCTTAGGGGGAGTTTTTTGGGTTGGTATTTAGTTTTCTATGTTGTCTTGCAAATCAATAACATTTGGTGTCACTCGAGTGCAGAAGCAGATATTTTCACTAAGTCTATGGATTATATTAGTAACAACCTTGGTACATACGATTTGTATGCACTAGCTTGAGAGGAAGTGTTAGATATATTATATTTTTATTTTCTTTATCTTTTATCTTTAATTAGTTTATTATTATTTCTTATTTGTATTTTGGGCTTAGCCCATATTTCTTTTATAATAAATAAAGGACCCTATGTGTATATTCAACACAAGGGAGATTAACCTCATATATAATTTTCAATATATTCAACATGGTATCAGAGTTATGGTTAGAGTCTATCCTAGTGATATTTGTTGTTTGTTGGGCATATTGTTTCACCCACTATCGAGTCGTTATCGAACCACCCATTAATGTCTACTCTCACGCTCGAGATGTATATACCTCGATGTCAGGAAGTGTGTTGGAAGTTCCATATCGATTAGAGATAAGACCAATTAAAAGTATATAAGTGGGTGTAAACCTTACCATACAAGCTTGTGTTTGTGAGGTTGAGTTAGACTTAAAGTCCACTCCTTAACCGTATAAAACTCAATATTAGGAAATTAGGAGTCTTTTGCATGCCATTGTGACTATATGAAAATGTTCGTTAAACATGTTGATAGCATTTTATTTTACCAAGGTAATTTTTTGTGTTAGTTTTAACTGGACTAAGGTTTGATTCTATTTTGTAATACTTGCAAACAAAAGATAGTACTTCAATTTTATTTTCTTTTCTATCACGACCAAAATGTAATTTTTTCAATATGATTTCAAATACTTTATTAAGACGGTTTCTCCTATAGAATGATAAATTTTATATAAGTATTATAATTAAAAGTAGTGAGAAAATTAGTGATTCTTCTTTGCCATTTATTAATTTAAATTTGACATGATGACTTTTTAAGATGTTAACAATTGAGAGATTCACATCACTGGTTTTCTCAACCTTGACGTCGTGGGTTCGGGCCCCACGGTGGGCACCATTTGTTTCAGTTTAATTGGGATCCGAGGTTGTCCGTCTTCAATGTTAGCCTCTTCCGCCTGCATATATGACCTTCATTATGTCAATCCGTTCGTCCAGTGTTTAAGTTATCCTCTCGGCCAGGGGTGGTCCTGCAGAAAATACTGACGTTCAAGTCAGAAAAAACTGTCCCTTGTGTATTCTGATGGTAATTTGGAATAAGATGATTTTACCTGAACATTAATATTGTATTTATTGGCCTCATAATTGTCCAGCCCATTAATTATATTAATTATTCATTAATACAATATATTTGTGCAATATAATCTGTCAATCACCCATAAATACCATATACTTGCCTTTGATATGGTCATTAAAATATATTAACTGGCTATTAATGACATTTATCTTACCTGACTCGCGATCATTGGATTATCGGTTGGTGCGGATGACCCTTCCCTCGAACGGTCGACTACCAAGGTATAGTACAGAAAACAACCAACATATAATGTTTGTTTATGCGTATAAAACATATAATGCTTACAAATACTGTGATCATTATTGTGCCAATTTTATAATATATAAACCAACAAATTCTTATCCAAATATCATTTTTTAATCTTTATTATTATTTTAATTATTATTATTAAGTATTATTAGTAGTAGTATTAGTATAATCTATTACAGTTATTAATATTGATATTATTAGCTAATGATCCTTTATATTAGTTTAAAAAAAATCAATATTATAAGAATTCTATTTATTTTTAACTAATTTATTTTAAAAGTATATCCATAATTATAATTAATTATTTTACTTCTTTTATATTATCTAACTCTGTATTTAAATATTATATTAATAATTATATAATTGTTATACTTAAATATAATGACATAAATGAATTATTTTTTAAATATAATAATAATTAATTAATTTTTTAACAAAAATTTAAAAAACTAACAGCAGTGTGTGGAGTCTATGATTAGTTTACAATAAAATGTCTTTTGTTTTCTATTTATTTTATAGATCAGTACGATTATGTAATTAATGGAGGTGAAAAATAAAAAAAAATACGATGATAAAAAAAAGTAAACATAAATTTACACATAATTGAATTGTAAAATGTGTAATTAAATTTATTTTATGTACATACTTTCTGAATAATGAGATCTACATAAGAAAATTAAGTAGAATTAAACTTATTAACCTGAATGAAAAAATATGTAATGAAAAAATTACAAAATTAATTGTTGGTATATCAAACAAATAACATTATATTTAAGAAAGAAATAATTTTATATTTTTTTACTAAAGTTTCCAAGAAAACAAGAATGAACGCCAAGTTTAAAAAAATTTCTTTTTTATTTGAATTAATAAAAAAGAATAGTGAAAAGATAGAATTTATAATATTTGATGAGAGGATGCAATAACAATAAA